TGCCAAGCTTGTTCTAAGTAGGTGCCTTAGACCACTGAGCCATCTCTCCAGCCCCAAATCATTCTATTCTTTAAGAGAATGCAACTATATATCTATCCTAACCACTTTGAATACACAGATACAAAATGTCTATTAATTTTAAATTTTTCTCTAAAGATATTTATAAATCTTGTTTGTTCACAAATATTTTTAAATATATACCTTTTCATGAGCCAACATCACTTGTAATGACTGCAAAATATGCACTCCACATACTTAACTATTCTCTATTGATGGGTTAGAGCCACCACTTCCTCTCTCTCCCCATTCTCGCTAGCGCTCGCACTCTTGCTCTCGCTCTCTCTCTGCATTAGGGACTGAATTCAGAGTGTTACATCTACAGACATTTTAAAATTTCGGCACAGGGTCTCACTGTTTTCCCAGGCTGGCCTTGAACTTCCTTGCAATCTCTGTCTCAGCACCCTGAACTTCTGAATAGCTAGGACTATAGGTGTGAGGCCCTATACTTGGCTACATATTTCTTCATTTTTGTTTTATCACATGTCTGCTATAATATCTCATCAAAACTAAGGTGACACTAGTGAGTTAACTGTTACTTTGTTTCTCATTAGGGATGAGAAATTCCAAGGTTAAATTGTATGGCATGTATGGTGAAATGCATTCTGTATATGTACTGCTGAAGCGAGCACGTGAAATGCATTCTCATTTCAAAGTCACTTTAAATGCGAGAAATGTGTCCCTTAATACCAGTAAGATGTGCTAGGTATAGTGACATATGCCAGTAATCCCAGCACTCAGGAGACTAAGGCAGGAGAATCGCTCTGAGTTTGCTCTAAGTCATAAGTGAAGTTGGCTCATGAGGTCAGCCTGGACTACATCATAAGTGAGTTCAAGGTCAGCTAGTCTCCACTACAAAGCAAGACCCTGTCTTTAAAAAAAAAAAAAAAAAAAAAAAAAAAAAAAAAAAAAAAAAAAAGGCCAGGTAGCTCAGTGGCATAAGTGCCTTCCTGACAGGCATGAGGTCCTGAGTTGGATTCCTGGTACCAAAAAAAAAAAAAAAAAAAAAAAAAGATATAGTATTCCACACATTAGGAATGCACAGGGAAGAAAGCTACAAGCTGGCAGGTCTCCACCCTGCAGCTTGCCTTCCAGCACTTGCTGCCCACTGTGTCACTTGTACAAGGCTGCCCTCAGAATGGAGTATTGGTGTCTGTGGCTGTGTGCTGACCCCTGACTCAGAGCCTGTCACTGTAGCAGCCAGAGTGGGTGGAAGTGATCTTGCCTTACTGCTGGTCATGAATTCATTGTAGCCTGGATGAGGAGATGGGGAGTGTGGAGATGCAGCTCCTTTCCCTTTGGGGCTGAGGTCACTCTGGACCGGAGCATTCAGTCACCTCTTAGGATGTGCATGGTGATATGTGCCTATAATCCCAGCATTCTGGAAGCCTGAGGCAGAAGGATCACAAATTTGGCTCATCATGGGCAAGTTACTGACTTAGCAAGACCCTGTCTCAAAATAAAAACAAAAGGGCTTGGAACATAGCTCAGTGAAAAGACCCTGGATTTATTTTTCAGTACTGAAGGCAAAAAGGGGGGGGGGGAACCCTCTCTTCATGTTAGTGTCATCATTAATACACTCCTTTTCCTCTCTTTCACCTCTGAGATGACATTCACAACAAGCCTACAAATGACTCTGGTGCCCACTTGCCAGATTGAGAAGCTGCAGTTTAGACTTTCTCAGGGATGATCAAGTCAGGAGCTGCTAGGGGACTCACTCTGAGCAGCGTCTGCTTCGCTGTTGTGCTCTTGGAGAGTAGCTGAGCCATGTGGCTGCCTGTGTTTTGTGTGTCAGTGTTTGTTTGCTTTGTTGGTGACAAGCAAAATGGACTGATACACATCACTGATACCTGTCCATTTCCACCCCAGCCATCCTACTGGTGTGGGAACCCGAGAATGGTTATGGGTAAAGAGGAAGAAGACTGTGACCCTGAAAAAGCGCTCAGAACTGAGTACTTTGAAGCTGAGCCTGAAGACCTGGTGGCTGGGATCAAGATCAAGCATCTGTCCAAGGTACCACCTCTCAGTGGGGACAGAAAGGGGACCTTAGGAGCAGGCGTGGTCCTGCGACCCTACGTGCCCTCTCCAAGCCTCATTCTCTCCCAAGCACCTGATAAAGGAGAACTGTGGCCCCTCAGCTACTCCTGACATATTTCCTGGCACACAGACCACCTCTCTGTGCCCAGCACTGGACCAGACTTAGGATGATGCCAGAGAATCTACAATAATACTGTGCCTCCTGCCAGCTTCCCAGTACATGCTCTGTTGTGCTGTACTGGGTGCCATAGGCTTCCCAGCACAGAGACATCAAGGAAGTAGTAGGATGTGTTGGGTGGGAAGGGAAGAGCAGGGACACACAGCCTGTACCCCAAACTTCACTCTTCTGTATGCTCATTGGCTCTGGACTTGGCTCCTGAGACACTGAGGCCGCCTTCCATAGGAGAGGCTGCTGAAGACCAGGGAAAAGTCCAGCACAGCCCTCTGCCTCTCCTGCAGGTCTTCCAAGTAGGAAATAAGGAAAAGGCAGCCGTCAGGGACCTGAGCCTGAACCTGTATGAAGGGCAGATTACCGTCCTGCTGGGCCACAACGGGGCAGGAAAGACCACCACCCTGTCCATGCTCACAGGTGAGGGGCAGACCCATGCTGCCTGCGGCTGGCAGGCCCTCCTCAGCACCACTGCACGCCAGTCTGACCTTGGTCCCTCACACAGCTTTCAGCCCTAAGGCCTGAGATGTTCTTATACCCAGCTGAGCCTCAGCCCTACAGCCAGCCCAGGCAGATGTACAGAGGACCTTGAGTGATCTCAAGCCTCTGCTCATGAATGCCTAAACCTAGTAGCATCAGTTTAAACAACCATAATAAAGTCTCAAGCCAGTCAGGGCTGGCCTACCCCATCCTGATAATGATTTGGTCACAAACCCCCCAGGGGCACACTGAGGCAATGGTTGAGATTTGGCATGGTGGTGCACACCTGTAATCCCAGCTCTTGGGTGGCTGAAAACAGGAGGATCATGAGTCTGATCTATGTAGTGAGACCCTGTAGACCCTGTACTAAATACATTAAAAAAGAATGAAAAAAACAAACCCTCTTTAGAAAGCCATCTCTGGTACATTGTACCCAACTCTAGAGTGGTTTTTCATCTTCTTGACTAAGACACCTCTTGGTAAGCAAACCCAGACCTGAGGTGGGAGTCTTGTGATAATGATTTGTTCTACGCCTCTGTATGTGTGTGTGTGTGTGTGTGTGTGTGTGTGTTTCCTGGCACTTCATCACACAGGGTCCTTGAAAAAATGAAGGGAACCTGGTGACTGAGGAGAGATGTCAATATACTTCATGATGATAAGCAAGATTTTCACACTGAATTTTGGGGTCTTTTGCTTGGCCCCAGGACTCTTCCCCCCTACTAGTGGACGTGCCTATATTGGTGGGTATGAAATTTCCCAAGATATGGTTCAGATCCGGAAGAGCTTGGGCCTGTGCCCCCAGCACGATGTACTGTTTGACAACCTGACAGTTGCAGAACATCTTTGCTTCTATGCACAGGTGAGTCCATTGATGACAGGGACTTGTAGGTAGTTGTGGTTCTATTGCTTATGTGTGACATTAGCCTCCCAGCAAAGCAAAGTTTGTTTGATAAACTCTTTTGCCACAACCAGAGTAAGGGGTGCTGGCAAGCAAACTTGATTGAGAGAAGGTATCTGTTGAGCCAAGGAGCTTGCTGGGCAGGGTAGGCTTCCATCAGCAACACTGCCTTATCTCACCAACCCCCTGCCATTTCAGCTTAAAGGTCTGTCTCGCCAGAAATGCCCTGAAGAAGTCAAGCAGATGCTATACATTCTCAATCTGGAAGACAAGCGGAACTCACTGTCCAAGTTCCTGAGTGGGGGCATGAAGCGCAAGCTCTCCATTGGCATTGCCCTCATTGCAGGCTCTAAGGTAGAGAGCAGTAGGCCCCAGCAGCACAGGTTAGGTCCCCACATACAGGGGTTTTGGGTTATAGAACTTGAGCCACTTGAGTCAACTCAAGCTCCATCGGCTGTGACATAGCTCTGCCATCACAATGGGGCTGTGCCTGTACTCCCCAGGTATTGATGCTAGATGAGCCCACCTCGGGAATGGATGCTGTCTCCAGGAGAGCCATCTGGGACCTGCTTCAGCAACAGAAAAATGATCGCACCATCCTGCTGACCACCCACTTTATGGATGAAGCAGACCTGCTGGGAGATCGCATTGCCATCATGGCCCAAGGCGAGCTGCAGTGCTGTGGGTCCTCTCTGTTCCTCAAGCAGAAATATGGTAAATATAGTGGATGGGGTGTAACAGACAGCCTTCATCCCATGGTGGGATCAGTGCCTCCTTCCCTGTGCCCACTGTGAGTCTTGATGACAACCTGTGAGCACAGTAGGGAGAAGCTTTTTGTCCACCTCCTGTTTTGTCATCCCAGTAGGGGGCAGGAGTGAAAACTAAGGGATGTGAGGCAGAACATCTTGATGGTTTGGCTCTGTTTTAGTCATGACCAGGGCTCCAGAGAGCAGTGGTCCCTTAGGTCGTATATAATGGGCTCCTAATATATCCCAAGGCAGTGAGTAGAGACCCAGGTCAGGTCCCAGTTTTGTAGAGTAGGTATAACTTCTCTTGTGAAGGTTGCCACCTGGTCCAGTATGGCACTGGTATGCCAGTCAGCCCAACACTCAAGACACAAGTGAGCCTGCCCTTGCCTCAGAAGGCCCAGGGATCCCCTCTCTACTCTTCTGGCTTTCCAGTGGCCAGCACACAGCCTCAGAGATCACCAGTGTGGCCCCAGCAGGCTGGAGGAAGCCTGGTAGGGGCATCCTCATCCTGGGTGGTCATGTGCCCTACAAAGATGCTGGAGTTCCTTTTCCAAGAAAGGCATGGTACAGGTCTCAGGGGATAAGGAACCATGTCTATCACAGCCTTAAGAATTGCACGTGCTACTTCCTGCCTGGATTCCCAGTGTCTTTGTCCCAGAAGGGGGCATGAATGTGACAGTTCCTTCAAAGTGATGCTGATCAGGAGATAAGAGCAGTGATCTGATATGTGTGATGTAGTTGACAGCTCCTGCTCTTGCTAAATTTCTTCCTGTGAACCTCGAACCTGTGTTAATTCGGCAAAGCAGATGCCTTCAAACAGTCACATTATTGCTTGTGTTGGTTCCCTGCCCTGATGGTTATACCTTCTAGAAGGCTCTGACTCAGCATTCCAGGTCCCCTCATAGCTCTTCCCAGTTAGGATTCAGAAAGCAAGATCCCAAGAGAGCATAAAGGATCTCTGGCTTTCCAGCTTTTTTTTTTTTTTTTTTTTACATGAAACTACCTGATATGAGTCCCATTGAAGGGAAGAAGAAAAGTGAGGGAACAGCCAAAGGGTATCCTCATGCCTAGCCCATGTGTTTCAGGTGCTGGCTACCATATGACACTAGTGAAGGAGCCACATTGCAACCCCAAAGCCATTTCCCAGCTGGTATACCACCACATCCCTAATGCCACTCTGGAAAGCAGCGCTGGGGCTGAACTGTCCTTTATTCTTCCCAAGGAGAGCACACACAGGTATGTGTCCTAGGAAGATGAGTATACAAGTATGCCTCCCAGGTGAAACCCACACAGGTGCAAATGTGAGAGGGGTCTCTGTGCTCAGTCACCTACTCTAGCCTCTGGTTTGGCCAGGGGGCATCTTTTAGCCCCTGGGCCATGGATGGTCAACCTATGGGAATGTTTGATTGGACCCAGGGAGTTAGGCCTCCTGACTGGGGCTGGGAGAAGTATAACTTGTTCCTGACTCATTGCAGGAGCACTCAGTACTTATCTGGGTTTGTTTTTTTTTTCATGGGTGTTTGTTTGATTTTTTTGAGACAAGAGTTTCACTATGCAGTTCAAGCTGGCCTTGAACTCACTTTGTAGCCCAGGCTGCCCTTGAACTCACAGCGATCCTCCTGCCTCAGCTTTCCACATGCTGAGATTAGCGTGTGCCACCATGTCAGGCGAGAACTTGCATTTGAATATAATTTTTTTTTTTTTTTTCGGAACCAGGGATTGAACTCAGACCCTTGCGCTTGCCAGGGAAGCGCTTATTCCACTGAGCCATCTCCCTGGCCCCTTGAATATAAATTTTGAATGTAACTTTCTGTTGTGGGTCACTCAGAATAGGAACCAGATCAGAAGCCAGATTGGAATTTAAAAGAGCCATTTATTACTGAGCTCAGGGCCGCCAGTCATTTCTTACATAGGAAAAAACTGATCAGCCCCTATCCTGGGAAGCAAGGGGCTTTTAAAACAAATGTCACATGACTAAGGTGTCTTTTACAGTTCAGCAATATGCACAACTTGCCCATGTGGGGGCTTGTTGAGCAAGCTGTTTTTACAAAATACATCTTAATCTAAGTATGTTTATAGGAATTAGATTAGGGAGGGGAGAGAGACAGTTACTCATTACTAAACAGCCTTAAACAGAAGGAGAACACATTTCTTAGAGTAGATAACAGGAAGCATAAGAGAACCTAATAGTTTTCCATAGTTACAGCACAAAACTCAGTTGACCCATTACATTTTCTGATTTCAGAATTTGAAGGAAGGTGTTTGTTTCATCAGTGTCATACACTGGGCAGAGCTACCACTGCAGGGGGAAGAAAGCCAACTTGTTTTTGTTTTGTCAGTGCTGGGGATTAAGAACTCAGGACCCTGTGCTTGCCAGGCAGGCACTTACTCTACTGAGCTATCTCCCCAGCGCCAACCTGATTCATACTCAGAAACTTTGTGATTTGTATCTTAAAAGTACATTTAATCATGTGACAAACCTAAGAATGGAGGGGTTGTTTGTTGGGATTTCTTTTTGCTAGGGATAAAACCCAGGGCTTCAAGCATGCTAGGCAAGTTCTCTACCACTGAGCTATATCTCTAGCCTTCATTTAGTCAGCTCTACAATTACTGGACGCAGTAACAAACACAACTTCAAGGAGGAGAGGTTTAATTTGGCTCTTGTTTTAAGGAGACCCAGTCTGTGGTCAGCTGGCTCCGAGGCAGAAATGTCATGGAGGAAGCTGTTTAGCTTATTGTGGACAATAAGCAGAGCAGAGGAGCAGTGCCAGAGAAGGACCAGATATAGACCCAAAAGCTATGCCTCCTTAACCAACCCAAACACATCTGGAAGTATGTGCCACCCATATCTGGGTGGGTCCCAAATCCATTCCAGTTGACATTCCCACCTAACCGCTATATCCTGCCCCCTGTCGACTTTATACCCAAACACATCTCCTTAAACCATGCTTAATTTCCAGGTAAAGACAACAGCAGATGTAATTCCATGAAACAATATACAGCTGGAACAATTATAAATGCAACAGTCTCTTCTCCAAAGACACGAGTGCCAGCATAATTCCATGTAACAATACACAGCTGGAACAATTATAAATGCAACTGTCTTTTCTCCAAAGACACAAGAGTGCCAGCATTTTTGAAAACTCCAAGTATAAGTCTCTACTGAGACTCTAGTCAAACTGTTAATCATGAATCTCTATACAAATGAAAAACAAGTTATACAACCTCAAGGTACAGTGGCATAGGTTAAACATTTGCATTCCAAAAAAAAAATAGTAGAGGAATTTTAAAATTTTGAACCAAAAAAGATCAAAATCCAGCAGGGCAAACATGAAGTCCTGTTGTCCCATATCCAGTACCTAGAGTACATGGTGAAATGTGAGTTTCAGGGAGCTTGAGAGGCCACAACTCCATGTTGTAGCCCACTGGGGCTCTCTCCTGGGCTGGATCACCTGTGGCCTACAGCTTTCCTTGGCTGACTTTCTGTGCTCTGGAATCTCTGTACCTTTGTTTTAGTCTCACAGCTTCATACACTGTCCTCTTAAGAGCTCTTTGCTGACCTCCAGGCTTCCTTTGAAATGCTGGTCTCTCTGGTCCCGTAACTCTGTGATTCTGAAATCCTGTAAGATCAGCATCATGTAGATGATATCAAGGCCAGCTGCCCCTTAAGTAGCAGCCAGGCCCCCTTAGACCATTGCTGCAGTGACCTCAGAGTGCCTAGATGGCTGAGTCCAGTGAAATGATGTTCATCTTTTCAATAGCCATGCCTGCTTTGGCTCTAACTTTATACAAGATTAGTTCTGAGCCAAAAAACAAAGTTTTTCAAATTTTTCCATTGTGCCTTTTACTCTCCATTCTCACTGTAAATCTAGCTATATGTAGCCAGCAGTACCCATGCAACAGTGTGAATGTTGGGCTGTCCTTAAATATCCTTGCCCAGATTAATTAGTCTACTACCTTTAATATCAGTTTTCTGCAAATTCTTAGGATATGAGCAAAAAACAGACAAATTTCCTGCCAGAGTATAGCACACATAGCCTCTAATTAAACTGCTAATGGAACCTTTATTCCCAGTAGAATCCTTCTGAGCCTGGTCTTTCTGTCTACATTCCTGTTAGCATGCTGGTCTTCTGAGCTCCAACTAGAATCTCCCATCAGGCTCTGCTCATCGCTTTGTAGGACTCCTCTATCTTATATCTATAAACCTTCTGAATTCTTCCCATAAACCAGTTCCAAAATCTTCTAAACTGCATAATTAGATATATTCACAGCAATGATCCTACCTCTCTGATACAAAATGTCTTTATCAGTTTTCCCAATGCTGGACACAGTACCCAACACCTACAACTTAACAAAGGAGAAGTTGGCTTATGTTTTAAGGAGATTCAGCCCATGGTCGGCTGGCTCCAATGCAATAATGATATGGCAGAAGCTACTTACTTAGTTCATGACATCCAGGAAGCAGAGCAGGAGACCAGCACTAGAGAGGAGAGGGCAAGGGACCAAGCATAACCAAGCGTTGGGTTCCACCAATACCCCAGGTGGAACCCAAAGCCATTCAAGTTGATACTCCCCTCACAAATGCCACATAGCCCAACTACTCCATTATCATGCACTCATGTTTGTCCCCAAATTATGCTAATAAAAAGCCTTCTAGTAAACCCTCATCCAGATCTCCAGTTACTCTCCCAGGACAGATTTCTAATAGTGGGGTAGTTATTATCAAGTTTTCTTTTAGAAATGAGGTTTGACTTCATTTCATCAGCAGGATAGGACAATATGTACTTTAATCCATGGTTGTGGCTTTGAGAAGAATTTTTTCCCAATATTCCTATACTGAATGAGTGAAAAAGCACACAGCTTTTGTCCAGTTCCTGGCCTTGGTCCAGTTCCTGCCAATAGGAAGTGGCCTGTTGCTATACCTGTTGGTTTTAAAAATTGCTGCATGGAGGACTGGGAAGATACTCAGCAGCTTAAGCCCCTGCCTGGCAAACACAATGTCCTAAGTTCAGTTCCTCTGTGCCAAAGGGGAAAAAATTGCTGCATTGGGAAATGTGTCTTTTGCTCACCTATGGCCCACTTTTAGATATTCATATCAACCATTTTGTTACAACTTTGTCCAATTTGTTGTTTATCCTTTTTTTAAAAAATAATTTTATTAAGAAACAAATAGCAATGAGACAGTTTCACAACTGATTACTAGCACATTCTCAATAATTAATACATTGCATACTGTTGTTTTAGTGGTTGTTCATTGTACTTGTTTATCCTTATATGAAACTTTTTTACTCATACAGATTTTACATTTAATATGTCATAAATTTGTGTCATAAATTTTCTTCTATGATTTCATCCTTTTATTTTTATAGATTCCATGCCCTGTGACTAAATGAGGGAATTGTTTAGGGATGAATTATATAGAAAGTGTATGAGAAGTACCTCATTGTTCTGTGTCTTTTGTTTCAGATTTGAAAGCCTTTTTTCTAAGTTGGAAAAGAAGCAGAAGGAATTGGGCATTGCCAGTTTTGGGGCCTCTGTCACCACCATGGAGGAAGTTTTTCTTCGGTTAGTAAGCATGGACTTATGGTCTGGACCTGAGGGGATTTTGCTAAAAGGCAGCTGAAAGGGAATCAGCATGATTCTGCCCTTAACCCGAGATAGCGTGCAGCATATAGCAGGGACAGAGCAATGGCATCTCAGGGCTGTGGTGCAGGTGTGACCATAGCAACACCTGTACCACATATGAATGAGCTTTTTGTGTTCTTGCTGGAAAGACCACTCCACAGATGGGTCAGGCAACACCAGCCCTGCTGAACTTTTCTAGGCATAGATCATCTTTCTGGATCCCCAAGTCTGCACCAAAGATGTGGGTCCTTAGCTTTCTGACCCTCAGAATTGTAGGGTAATTGCTAGACCATTAATACATTTATCAGACATTTCCTGAATGCTTGTTTGACAGATAAGAACTAAGAACTCAATAAAAATACATGTCAGGTCATTCTCTTTGTGGAGCTCATGGCCTAGACAGGAAACAGAATAAGTGACCATAAATTATGAGGCCATGTGGCAAGTGTACTGTGGTAGTCTACCTAGAGGGCTGTGAGGACCACTGGGAAAGGCCAGTGTGAGCACAGGGACAAGCAGAGAAAGGAGGCTAAGAAGGAGCCTGTGTGTCTACAGAGTCCCCCAAATCCAAGGCTGGTGAAGGAGGAAGAAGGCACAGGTTACTCTCTGTCCCTTGGCCAGCATGGGGCAGAACAAGGTAGGTCTTGGTGAATCTTGGTTGAATTAAAAACATGCTGGCCCACAGGCCAGTGAGATAGCTCAGCAAATGAAGCACTTGCTTAGGTAAGTGCAAGGCCAGGGTTCGATCCCTCGTACCACATGCACAGCCGGCCCCGCCCTCACGCATGCTGAGCTGGTGATAGAGTCCAGGTGTGGTGGTGCATGCCTGTAATCCCTGCACTGGGGAGGCTGAAAATAGGAAGATCACTACGAGTCCGAGCTGCACAGTGAAACCCTGCACACACGCACACACACACGCATGCATGCACACACACACGCTGGCCTTGAGGTCAGTCCCAGGTTGCTCTCAGCAACCACAGAACTTCTTGTCTCTTCATTTCTGGGGATCTAGGGCCTCTCTGAACCCTGAATTACTTTGTTTCCTCATTCACATTTAGCACATGGCCCAACCTACCCTCTAGCCCGGGTCTTGCACTTAAGCTCCAAGCTCCTACACCTGACAGTGAGCTCCTAGTCTTAGGGAAGAAAAACAAAAGAAGCTATCACAGACACTCTGCCCAGCCTACCTAGGATCTTTTGGCAGAGTCAAAGAAGCCAGCAGCATCCACAGGCAGGTCAGACAGTGAATGACTATTTTCAACTTGAAGGAAATGGAATATTGGCGAGATGACACTATTTGGTGTCTCTAACTCATATCTGTTAGCCTTGAAGGATAGTTGAGACTGGGAGAATCAATGGAGGGACTCTGGAGTGAGGCCCACAAAGTAGAGACCAGGGCCCAAAGGCAAGATGGGGCAAAGGAAGTCAGTGGGCAGGTCCTCTGGTAGGCTCACTGCTGAGAGTGAGTGGCCCAGGTAAGCTTGATTAGACCAGATCCAAAAGCATCTCACATGTTCGGTGGCTTTGGGGCTGTTTCCTGACAGGAGATTGCTGGAGGGCTTTATGTTTGGGGATTTGTTTTGTTTCATTTTTGTAGTACTGGGATTGAACCCAGGGCCTCTGTGTATGCTAGACAAGTACTCTACCACTGAGCTACTCCCTCAGGGTATGCTTTTAAATAACAGCCTTCGTGGAGCCGGGGAGATAGCTCAGTGGAATAAGTGTTTGCCTGGCAAGTGCAAGGTCCTGAGTTCAATCCTTGGGGGGGGGAGGAAGGGAGGGAGGGAGGGAGAGAGAGAAGCACCAGGTATACTGGTGCACAGAGCTATACTCCCAGCTACTCCAGAAGCTGAGGCAAGAGGGTGAAAGTTTGAAAGACCAAAGTTTGAGGGGCTGTCTCAAAAAAATTCTTTAGACAGGCATGTGGCATATGCCTATAATCCCAGAATTTAGGAGACTGAGGCAAGAAGATCACCATGAGTTTGAGGCTAGCCTGGGTTACCTAGTGAGTTCAAGACCAGGCTGAACAATGTAGCTCTTCAAGTATAACTGCACTTATGGTGGTGGTGTGTACCTGTCCAGCCCACTAGCTTCAGTAGCTGCAGCCAAGAAAGTGTGCCAGAGTTTTCAGACCTTCAACATCTGCTACACTGAAATGGGGTTGCTAGGGGCGCACTTTGTTTGCGACCACATGAGCATCGATGACATGATGTTCTTTCTTGTTGTTTTTTTTTGCGGAACCGGGGATTGAACTCAGATCCTTGCGTTTGCCAGTCAAGCGCTTATCCTACTGAGCCATCTCCCCGGCTACATGATGTTCTTTCTGCAAGGCCAGTGGATGAGCCTATGCACCAGTGCCACAGAGAGTGAGGTGACTCGGGCAAAAACATCCTCAGAAATGCCCTGATAGGGGCTGGGGAGATAGCTCAATAGAATAAGCACTTGCCTGGCAAGCACAAGGTCTTGAGTTCAATCCCCAGTTCTGCCAAAAAAAAAAAAAAGAAGGAAAGAAATGCCCTGATATCTCATTTGGATGGCACCACACCTATCTGTGAGGACATTGGATGCAGCCTCCTGACCTATGGCCACCGCATCCCCCTTGCCAAGTGGGAGACCCGGATTATGGAGGTGGTTGCCCATGTAGTCTGTGAGGTCTGCTCCAAATACTTCTATGACCAATGTCCAGCAGTGGAGGGATTTGGCCCCATTGAGCAGCTCCCAGACTACATCTGGATCTGCAGCAGCATATTCTGGCTGTGCTTTTAGGCAGGAAGCCTATGCAGGGAAAAGGGTGAGGCTGGGGCTCCTGGTCCCCCACACAAACAGCCACTCCAGCTTCTCCAAGTGTGCAGCAGAACACCACCAATAAAGTGTTCTGGTGAGGAGAAAAAAAAAAAAAAAAGACCAGGCTGAGCTACATGGGAAAATCCTGTCTCAAGAAAAAAAAAAAAAAATAGGACTGGGGAGATAGCTCAGTAGAATAAGCACTTGCCTGGCAAGCACAAGGTCCTGGGTTCAATCCGCAGAACTGTAAAAAGAAAACAAAAACAAAATCCAGAGGGGAAAAAAAAAATATATATATATACATATTGTAATGTATTTAGTACAGAGTCTACAGGGTCTCACTATGCAGGTCGGACTCATAGTGATCCTCCTATTTTCAGCCTCCCAAGTGTTGGGATTACAAGTGTGCTGCCACCACGCCCAGTCTCAATTGCCATCTCAGCGTGCCCTGGGGGTGGGACTGGCACAGCACACTAGG